CCCCCCCCCCCCCGCTCGACGGTAATTTTTTGGGGTAAAAATTGTTTTGAAAGAGGGGGTCGTATGAAACATTTCATGAGGGAGGGGGGTCGTAAAAACTTTTTGAAAAGTAGCAACGATAGGACCGACCCTGGTTCCGACTGTTTCTCCGTTTCCTTCAGTAATAGTGGACCAATCACACATCAATTTTCATATCATTACGCAATAATCCACACCTATTCAGTCGCGGAATTTCCTTCTTGAATAGTTCAAGTGGGACAATACATGTTGCTTCCAAGCAAGGCTAGCCGTGCGTTTTTCCATTCTCAACGAGGGAGGGTCATATTTGAGTTTTTTTCGGTATAGGGAGAGGTCGTATTTGAGACCCTCTAAGGCTGATGGTGGTGGAGAGGGGTAGTATACCCCTTAAAGAAAGGGTCGCAAATTTTTTTGGCAATCGGAACAAGGGACGGTTGACCCTGTTCCTACGGCTACATAGCAACGCTGATAGATGTAGTCTGCAACTCACCCAGAGACAAGATGATGGTGCCCGATGTTTGCTCAGGATATGCCACTTCCGGAAAGCATGCAGCAGAGTCAATTCCAATACCAACAAGTATTGACATAACAGCGATTACGGTGGTGATCATTGCAAGGACTATCACACCCCTAGAAATCAACAAAATATTTCATTCACAAGAAAACCTACACAAGACCGCTTTGGAGTAAGAGCACATAAATAAGACTGACAGGGCATGTCGCGTAAATGTTTTCAACGGAGCGCGACTGAATATGGGTTGGGGTCAACAAGCTCGAAAGATGAGGGAGTGTAAGTGGTTTACGAAAGGGGGTATTGCCCTAGAAATAGGCCCAGGAGCAGATTTGAGAAGGAAGACTTCATAAAATTGCCAAGGTAAAGCAACAGGGTTGGACACAAGTACAATAAGGAGTGACACCAGAACTCACCAAAATTCTCCAGGACTTTTCAGAAACGTGAACGGAAGTATGACAGTAGCAAGAATCACAATAACCTAAACATTGTTGTATAAATTTCTCATAACCAGTAACTGTTCGTGTTTTCATCAATGTTTCAACATGAGAAATTTGGGGCGTCAAGGAAGATTCTTCTGTACTGGAACAATAAGAAAGCAAATCAGAGGACGAGATCAATCCAGACAGAGTCAGGCTTACGCTTAGAAAAGTTCGACGGGGCCTTCTCGAAGATTGGAGCTAGAAGAAGCAGGAAAATCCAGTAGCCAACGCCACCACACCGAGCCCCTTCAACTAACTTTCAGAAGGTCTTACCTGCAGTAAATCAGTAACCTACGCCTGACATTCATTAAAAAATCTTGACAAATTGAAAGGGTCTGTACTATGTACAATCTGAATATTCTCTTCGAAATCTTATACCCTCTACGTTTCACCCCACTCTTTTTGAAACCGTCTACTGATCCCACCAGAACGACCTCCTCCTCCAGAGCAAACAAGTTTTTTTCCCGTGCCAAGGGGTCCTTGATGTTAGCTGACACTCCATCCTCATAGTCCCATTCCGCGATGCCCCTAATCTTCTCCGGTTCTTACAGAAGAGGTACGTTCTACCAGAATACCCTCACAAAGTTTAGTTCCTACCCAACTCCTTGCAAGATCAGCAGCCACAGTTCTCAAGTCACTCAACTTTATTGCTTCCCAAACCCCCAGCCACAAGTTTCACTTTTATAGAGTGGTCATAGTGAATAGAAGATAAAGTTCAGCGCTCATTCCTCTTTGGGATGTGCCACGCATTCACTTCCAGTCAGTATCCTAGGATATTCTGAATGCTATCTGACCCATGCAATGATTTGCTGGGCCAACTATGCACACAACTCATGGTCAGTAATGATCGGCCCTTTCAGGCGAGTTCTTCATCAATTCACCGACCTCGCAGATGATAAAAGGTTTGGCTCTGAACCCTGCATTGTGCGATAACCACCGACCTCTCCTCCCTCCCCCTTCACATGATTTGAGCAGCCTACAAAACTGCTCTTGCAATTTGTTAATCATGTTTTATCATGGTTATACGATGTTCTTATCATGTTGCATGGCGATAAGCCGAGAAGGAAGGAAGATATCGTCTTAATCAAGTGAACCACCGAAGCGATAAGATATTGGACATGATAAGATAGACATAGATACTTAAGCATTCCCGAGTAGGAATAAACAACTATTTCGGATATTGTGTTGTTTCTTCTGTGCCATACAGGTTGTTATGGTGGAACACGTTTATTGGTCAACGTTTCGACAATTCGTCGTCTTCAGGACCTGAAACTGGTTCGAAGTCCTAGCTCTGTAGCTCACCCGGTAAAGCGCCTAATCTTACTGAGTTCCCGGAAAAGCGAAACAGTACAAAATAAACGATCCCAGCGAGCGAACTAACCTGTGGCGAGTCCACCAGTCTTTGCAGCCTCCTCTTCTTGTTAGTGAGCGAATAAAATGAGACACCATGGACAGTAAGCGTCCTACGTGTCGTATGTGGTGATCTCACAGTCCACATAAAGGAATGAAAGGCAAGAATTCATTGGTAATGGCCATGCATTCATTACGGTTGTTCAGTCTTGGATTTTTCACGCGGATATAAAACGCCTCTAACATTTTTCTAGCACCGATGTCGTTTTCGTAGGCTAGAATTTTGCATTTGATTTCAAAATCGTTACCCTGATGTCCCTCTACTCGGTGCTTGCCAAGTGGAGTAAGCAGATTTCCGCGCCTTTTTCCTGCCATATGTTCTTTAATGCGCACGCCTAGCATCCTGCCCGTCTCTCCAATATAAAGTTCGTCACAGGTTGAACATTGAAGTTGGTATACTATCCCTCGTTGCGCACAGTCTCCTTGCCTTCCATATGGGCAAACAACGCAGTGATTCGTGGTGCACGCGCGGTCATAGAGTCTGTTGCGGATTAGCTGACGCTTAAGATTGTCTCCTGGTATATTAATCAAAACGACTTCATCAGCTAGATCCGCCCGTGCAATGCACTGCCGTATAGCTGCGCTTTATACAAACGTGAACAATAATGAAGCTTTGCAAGCGCTCTCTGAAATGTTAGATGAGCATGGTGCAGAAATCGTAACGTTTGGATTGAGCAAAGTGCACATTATGACTCTGATCAAGGAATGCCTGAACTGTAACATTTTCAAGTGGTGCGGACAGTACTTCTCACAAAAGCGGGGGCTTGCAATGGGGCAGCGTCTAGCACCGGTCCTAGCTATCTGCTTTATGGGTAGAATAGAACGACCGGTGATAGCACGCATGCCCATTATGTACTGCCGATATATTGATGACTGCTGCGTAATTACTTCAACACAATTTGAAATGGATGAATTATTCAGCATACTCAATCAACAATCACAGTACATAAAGTTCACACGAGAAGTCCCGCACAATGGTTGGCTACCTTACTTGAACACACAGATAAAAATCTCGAACTGTACGTATAGTGTGAAGTGGTACAGGAAAAGCAGCTCAAAGAACATCCTACTCCATGCGAAGTCTGCACACCCCAGAGCTGTAAAATGTGCGGTTGTTCGAAACATGCACAGAACAGCAGTTGGAGTGTGTACAGGCGACGTGGAGCGAGATGAGTCACGTAGGCTAGCTTCCGAGATTGCAAGAGCGAATGGTTATGGAACGAGGAACGAAGAATCAGGCTCTCAGAGAAATGCCGCGAGAAATCGCGAAGGCTTCACGAGGGCGTTCCGCGAGAAGTCGCGAGGAGTCACGAGGGCGTTCCGCGAGGAGTCGCGAAGAGATGGCGCACCTCCAGTTGCCTTTCATATCGGATAGAATTAGCATGGCTATACGGCAGTGCATTGCACGGGCGGATCTAGCTGATGAAGTCGTTTTGATTAATATACCAGGAGACAATCTTAAGCGTCAGCTAATCCGCAACAGACTCTATGACCGCGCGTGCACCACGAATCACTGCGTTGTTTGCCCATATGGAAGGCAAGGAGACTGTGCGCAACGAGGGATAGTATACCAACTTCAATGTTCAACCTGTGACGAACTTTATATTGGAGAGACGGGCAGGATGCTAGGCGTGCGCATTAAAGAACATATGGCAGGAAAAAGGCGCGGAAATCTGCTTACTCCACTTGGCAAGCACCGAGTAGAGGGACATCAGGGTAACGATTTTGAAATCAAATGCAAAATTCTAGCCTACGAAAACGACATCGGTGCTAGAAAAATGTTAGAGGCGTTTTATATCCGCGTGAAAAATCCAAGACTGAACAACCGTAATGAATGCATGGCCATTACCAATGAATTCTTGCCTTTCATTCCTTTATGTGGACTGTGAGATCACCACATACGACACGTAGGACGCTTACTGTCCATGGTGTCTCATTTTATTCGCTCACTAACAAGAAGAGGAGGCTGCAAAGACTGGTGGACTCGCCACAGGTTAGTTCGCTCGCTGGGATCGTTTATTTTGTACTGTTTCGCTTTTCCGGGAACTCAGTAAGATTAGGCGCTTTACCGGGTGAGCTACAGAGCTAGGACTTCGAACCAGTTTCAGGTCCTGAAGACGACGAATTGTCGAAACGTTGACCAATAAACGTGTTCCACCATAACAACCTGTATGGCACAGAAGAAACAACACAATATCCGAAATGCCCAGGTTCCAAGAAAACCGAACATGGAATTATTTCGAATATTTTGAAGGTGTTAAACACCGAAATATAGCAGAAGATTTCAAAGGAGTTCTTTTTGAAACTTTTCGTGTTTTTTGGAATTTTGTTTTTTTTTTAATATTTGTGAACTTTTGGGACTCTTTTGAAATAAATTTTGGTGCCTCTTTGTGTTTTATAACATTTAGGTCCTGATGAGGCTCCGGGACAGCACAATACTGAGAGTGTTTGCAATTTTTTCATCATTGATTTTTGCATAAACCTGAAGCTCAGATGTGCTCTTAATTTAAGCGTAATAACCAAAACTTCACAGGGTCAGCCTCCGCAGATCATCATTTATTCAGCAACGGCATTTTGGAGGGCTTCATAACACTTTGCAGAAAGTAGTTTCACGAAATTTATTCTAAAATCACATATCTCCCTTTCAAAAAACGAGAAGAGCGTCGGGTGCAGACCATACACCACAAGTGACGACGGCCTCCACAAAATGTAAATGTTTTCTGCCAATGAAATGATTAGCCTGTTGCAGTTGTATTCTATCAGTTGTCACTAATTACAACTATCATTTACCAAAATCAGCTATCACTATGAACCACTACTAACCAGATTTACTTGGAGGCCGTCGTCACTTGTGGTGTATGGTCTGCACCCGACGCTCTTCTTGTTTTTGAAAGTATAATTTTAAAATCGCAAAATTTTTCAGATTCCAGACTAAACTAGTTTCGACAAAAGCCCAGTGTTTTCTGCTGAACATACGAATAGATTTTGAATAAACTCTTCCCATTATTGAACTACTAAATGCATATTAACATCCATTACATCATAACTGATATATAATGCTTGTTATTGCAGAGTCATTTATCCAAAAAACAAGTGTCACCTATTTACAGAGAAGGCAGCTCCGACTGTCTCACTGACTGAGCAGCATTTTCAAAATGCTGCTCGAAGAGAGGGCCGGACCATAAAAATTTCAAATGATAGTTCTCGCTGATCGCTTGGTGAAAAAAGGATAAAATGACGAGATAACTTCTCAACTTTCGTCATGCCCTTTTTGAGGTGCGCACTCGGATTCCACAGAGAAGT